AGTGATATGACATGCCCTTGAAGTAACAGCAGGAACAATCAATAAATGGTATATTATCCTGTGAATATGATTTATAATGTTATACTGAGTTACACTGTAATGGATATGTAGTTTTTGTATACCTGGACTTATTGACATGGTTAAAGCATACCAGAAATTGCTCTTTTAAGATGGTGATAGGGTAGTAATTATACTGATAGTTGTCATAGTGATACTTATTATATAGTGATAATAGATATAGTGATAGTTGTCATAGTGATAGTTGCTTTAGTTATAGTTGTAATAGTGATAGATCCTATAGTGATAGTTGCTATAGTGATAGTTGCTATAGTGATAAATGGAGTGCATGGTGGTAAGACTTACCGTGACATTTTCTCGTACATCAGATAAAGTCTCAATAGTGTAAAAATATCCTGGAGAAAAAAAAAATAAGTTGCTATGAATAATATCATGCCAGCAAAGTCCACACTTGATCACATTAACATCAGACAAGAAAGATGGCGATATCATATCAGAGAAATGCCTCACAAGGCACCATTAGTTGTCATAATCATGCCTTTGGCTTATCAAGATTATACAAAGCATGACTCAAATCAGTTAAAATATATGTTACCTCTGTATTTACATGCTATATCACGAATGGGAGCGAATGGACTGTTTTTTTCYCTTCCAACCAAATATCCAAATACACGGATCTATAACACAATGATTAGAATAATAGTCTAAAAATGGATGTAAAATAATCACACATTTTCCACGGGGAAAATTATCCTGGACCAAGAGCAACAATTATAAAATATTCAGCTCTATCAACCTGTTTTGTAAAAAAAAAATGAATCATTTGGGCTAATTTTGTTTCAAGTACTAAATTGAACTCCATTTTTGAAACTCAATCCAAAAATCAATAACAATTTGTATGATTACCTGTCTTTCCTTTGCTTTTCCTTCTTTTAATACTTCTAGAGATTTCTCATATTCATTTTGTTCAACTCCATCTGAGAAGAAGTTAATGGTTTGAATACAACCAGTTCCAGATTGGTTCTTCTTTGCTACCTGTAAATACACCACAATAAGCAACATTATAGATTTCTTTTTTGATTCAGAGAAATTCTTTGGTCTAATTCGGACAAGGGCTTCCTTCCTGGGAATTGAATGAAGGTAGGAGATATAATTATATTATATTATATTATACCTCAAGCACTTCCAGGGCTAATCTGAAACCACTACTGACATTTGCAGCTTCATATGCTTTAACCAAGTTCACCATATCCTTCAAGTACTGGAAAAAAAACCAATAAAACCCATGACTATGTTGAATAATGATGGGGTAATGGTCCAGCTAGTATTCAATATTGTGGGAGGGAGGTATACATACTAGGAAGTCAACTGTAAACTACGGAGAAGAGAGAATACTAATTTCCTTCCTACTAGTAAACAATGATCGTTACACACTTCACCAATGTTCAGGGTTTTTTTATTTTTGTCCTTGAAAGGTGGGACACAAGCACATAGGGACCCCTAGGTCCTTAATTGCCCATGTGAAGATTTATACATTTCAATACATAGACAATAATTATGATTTGAAGGCAATAGTTGTACCTTAATGTTCTGTTTTGTTGCTTGCAATAATTTCTTGCTACAGCCTTTTTTAAACTACAAAATACATATTACCGGTAAGCAAGGTTAAACAATATCATTATTACATCAACCAGACGTTTTTATTATCAAAATGAATCAATCAATTAATCAACACACAAACAATCAATCAATCATTGATTCAGAAACAATCCATCTTTCCATCAATCAAACAATTATCAACTCAATCAATCAGTCAATCAATCAATCAATCTTCATCACACAGCCCTTTTACAGTTTGTATCTTCTTAGAGGATTTCATTCGAAATAATATCTTTTTTATAAACAAAATCATCATATTTTGTATTCATGATTGGTGTGTTTGAGAATGAAAAATAACAATCAATAATATTTAAAAATGTCAGCCTTACTTCTAGTTTAACTGCATCTGTAGTTTTGTCAAAGTCTTCTTCACAAAGCATCCTTGAAACATTATTGAACTGAAAAAAAACACAATGTTTAGGATACAATCATTGACAGTTAAATATAAAAGAAAATTGTCATGTTAATCCTTGATGAAGACTGATCTTTTCAGGTGGTGATGTATAAAAGAAAGTCACGAGTCATTTTAACTTTGGATTCTTTGAATGTCTAATAAAAGATAGGGACTCAACCAACATTGYGAAAGGACTTGAATGCTACCMACATTTCCAGGAAACCAAATAAAGCCACTTACTGTAACAATRTTGACAAAGTCATTTTCCTGAAGAGTGTCCAGTAAGAGTGAAGCTGACAACTTACTGATTGCTAGCTTATTGCCRACCATACTACCACTTCTGCAAATGGAGCAAAAATATAAAGCTTAGAAATGAGAAATCAAGAAAGTCAACTGGGTGAGATGTCGACAGACCTGTCTCAAATAATACTTACAGATCTAACAGAATAACCATGTCTTTAGGAGAACTAGAACCTTGTATATACCTAACACACAGACAGTGTAAGYAAGTAAGCAAGCATCCTTTTTGATAGGCTGGACTTAATACTAAAACAACTTACCATCCTCTCCTGCGATGATCAAAGAAGTCTTGAGTATTTTCATCTCTCCATTTGTAGCCTAAAAAAATATTATTATTTCCAATAAACATTTAACAAATTGAGTAGAATTTACAGACTATTGATGCAATAAAATTCTGATGTAATAAAAAACTGGACCCACAAGTGCAGCAAGAATAAGACATACACCAAAAAACTGTCTGCAATAATTACCATGATATTTTGATTGAAAAATACAATATGTAATCCTTTCCTTTCAACTGAGTGTACGTGAGATGTGATGCTCAGTGTAGATGTCATGTTGACACACTCTAATCAACTCTTAGCACACAGGAATGCACCTAAGTGTGTTAAAAACCTGACCCGTTCAATATGAAAGGAGTCCATACCTGGATATACTCTGTAAATCCCAGTTGATGTTCCAAAATACTGCCAAAGTAGAGATGGATCTCGTTCTCTATTCTTAACATAAGCTTTATCCAGGTCTTTAGTATACTTTACAGAATTAACAATTATTTGACCTTACAAAATAAAAAATAATAATATGGAATATAAATTACAGAATTTAGAAAATATATAATAAATCAAAGGACAGATGCCTATCGCAATTTATTGTGGATTTAATGAAACAACAATTTTTTTATAGTAAAAGGAAGAAATCGAATCAACATTTCAGAAATTACAWTCCTGTTTTTATTCTGTAAAAAAGGAGTCAAAAATGTCAGTCTGATTCCTTTTTGGTTTATTTTYATAAATTATTATTCCAGCTTATCACAGGATATGATATAATACAATCGTGAATACTGTATTGTAATCAATATAAAACAAAGTATAAACAACTTACTTCCATTGTAAACATCAGTGGGTACATGCACAGTACTATAAGTCAAGTTCACTTTAATTGAGCTAGAAAATGACACTTCCTCTTTCAATGTGATGTTCCCAGAACTTTCAAGAAATTTACTATCAATGAACATTTTCTGAAAAAAAAAACAAGTAGACTTGTAAATGAACAAATAAATACACACAAAAATGAATAAATGAAACAAAAAATGAATAAATCAAAACATAGTTATTAAATAAACAAATGCAAATAAATTCATTATATTTTTAACAAAATGAAGGGAGTATTGCTGAATGAAAAATACAAATGCGTAACAAGTAACTAGGTTGTATTATATTTTGATATAGTCTGTATATTATTACTCGTGACCAGGCCCTAGGCCGGGTCACGAGTCAGAAAATGCAGCGCGTATAGTTTTGTTTTTGTTTTTTCTATGTGAGACCTTTGTCTTCGGACCTTTGCGTCCCGAACGCATATCACATTACAAACTCGGCTGTGCGATCTCTAAACGAAAGATCACATTACGAACTCGGCTGTAAACAAGCGTATCATAGAACAGCAAAACTGCTCGTGAATTACTGTAGCTTTTATACGAACGAGATATAAATCGATACTTCGTAGATAAATGAAGCCCGTGGATGTCTCATACAGCACGCAGTTTGAATGGAAGAATTATTCTTCAAAACTCAGAATTATCGACTCTTCAAGTCCGCAGACTCTGACGCTTATTACTCATCTGAGTATTTGGGATATAGCGGAAAGTTTTCTGTTAAAGGCGAAGAGATCTCAAGTTATACGACCGACAGCTCTTCTAGATACGAACTACTCTAAACAATYGTATCATAGAACAGCAATAACTGCCCGGGATTTACTGTAGTTTTTTAGTAATTCTTTGATATTCGAGGCCTTTTGTTATTCCAAAACATTCATCTGTGTAAGAGCATGTATTAGGACATTGGTTTAGGTCATAAAGGTTGGTGTATCGAGCCAAATAGTTCATTTTCCTTGGCGAGATATAAACCGATACTTCGTAGCTGACTACGTGGCTGTCTGATTCTGAGTTGCATARCCTATAATATTTTCTAATTTGATGAGGGATTCTGTCTCTTCTGGTTAAAGAAAACAATGCTATTCACACGGCGCCGAGCTGTCTGATTTTGATACTGTAGTATACTTGACCTTTAAATTACTACAATATTCTTACTATGTTTCACGCGAAAGACTATCAGAGTGAACGATTTGATTCTACRCTTTTAAAGATTTKTGAAAAATTATGGTATATCTAGTTCCTTCAAAAGCTKCTATATATTACATGAAAAGTAATCAACAAGGAGTTACTTTCACAAATTTTTTCTCTTAATATAGTTTGCTTTCAAATCACTTTGTGATTTATCAGTATAGATGAACTGCATGCCTTTGGTAGCACTATTCTTTACATCTAGACCAGACCCTATCCTTAGAGCGTCAACTCGATCAAACTATTTTAGAAAATTGAGAAAGACAGTATATTACATGGTTGGTCAAACACAAGAACAGTTTTAAATGAGCTCTTTTTGAAAAAGTACTGAATAAGACAGCAGCTTTTCAACACCTTTAGGGCACGAGTRCACCCTGCTGTCAGGGTCTAGTTTAATAAGAATTTCTAAGACAAACAGCTTGAACATCGTTTTATCATCAAGAAAAACTATACATTTGATATTCACTTTTGATTTTTATGATTTTCAATATTTTTGCAATTTTTTATATTCAACATTTTTGAAATTAGATTCTTCTTGTTGATTCCATGATGACAATGTTGCTGTGATAAAATGATAAAATTTAGATGGTTTATATTGGTTCTAATTTAACACCATTTGTATACATCACTGTAAGATTAYTGCTACGTGGCTTGTGGTCCTTAACACAATATGTTACACCCTTGCAGACAGTATAATTACAGTTAATAACATATATTGAAAGAGTACAGGTCACATAGAGGAATAATTATAATTATAAGTACTTTGTTTCTACCTACACTAGCTTATTGCCAACTGAATGCTTCACATTTCTATTCATATTGAAATATTAGTTTAAGTTTCATMTGATTCATCATTTATGAACAAAGTACAGACAGTAATACCTAGTAAGTACTGATAGCCTGCAAGGTGTTGATGAAACAATTTATACCAATAAAAATGGTTTTCTATAAGATAATTTCTTGTTAAAAGGCTGCTAATTCCCTGCTAAAAGAAACCCATATAGAACCATAAACAAGCATAAAATTTGACAATATCTCCAAAAATACACTTCATTTAGCCTTCTTCCTTAATCCCACTCTCTTACTGATATAACACAGCTTGACAGGAAGCCACTATTTTAAGTAAGGAAAAAGACACCTGCAGAGGAAGCTATACCCCTGTTTAAATTACAAGATATCATCAATATAATCTTGTTTGATGCTGCCCTTCAACTAAACTAAACCGGCGAGCAATTTGGCTATTTCAAATTCATAAGCATGGTACTGGGATTGAAAATTACTGTGTACAAAAACACTGTCTTATTTGAACTTTATATAAATTAATAACTTGACYGTCAGATTGCAGGATGAACCGCAAATACAGCCATCTTGTCAGCTCTGTATATATTATTTTTTCATACTTTATAGGTTAAGTGCTTTGTTTTGCCTATTTTATTGTAATTTGGGCGATCACGAACCATTATTGCAGAACGTAATTTCAGCCTTGAGCACATTTTCAAATTGATATTAAAACAGTTATATAAATTATGGACATGTTTAGATTTAGTTCTAGATCACTTTTTGGATTTACTGGGTATATCATTGGCTTGGTCAGGTATGCTCAATGTGGTCCCATTTCAGTTGTTATGTAGAAATTCAAAAGTGGGTACTATGACGTTTGCATTTSAAAGCATTGAAACGTGAAATTCTATACTTTAATTACTTCTASTTATTATTAAAATTAAGTTAATCCTTTATTGAAGTGTAAATAACAACAAGAACATCTTTACTATTATGKTATATTGGGAATGTTTATAATGAAGCCTTGTTTGCACTGATCGTTCAGCTTTTTATACTCTGTGTTCTGTTTTAAATCTTCATTCCCTGCCAATGTCGTAAACAGTGAAAGCTTGGAATCGCATACCAACTATAATTCAAATTGTACCCAAGGCTTCGTTAGATACAATCCTAATATATGCTGGTAAACTATTAGTAATAATAAATGGTAAAAAAGAACTAGTAAATATAGCTTACCCAATCTAATTCATCCAATGTGAGGTCTTTGTTCCATGTATAATTCTTCATCAATGATTCAGCTTCATGAGCTAATGTCTGGAAATAAAGTCAAACAAATTAGTTGCCTTTGCAAATAACAGAGCCGTAGAAGTCAGGTTTTTGAATTATTGATCCTGTTTTCTAAGATAACTTTGATTTTTGTATTGTGTTTTTACAAATAAAGGAGTAATTCTAATTAAAAGCAAACTAATTAAACCCCGTGGCTACTGACTTTTGTGAAAGAATATAAAGAACAACCCATTGAATATCAATAATGGTGGCATAAGAAAAATTATATCATAAATGTGATAATGAATTGTCAGATGTTTGTTCTTCTTTGGATTTGGTTTCAGCTTTTTAAACATTATACCTATAAGTAATTTGGTTGATTACAATCTACAGTGACCAATCAATAGCATTCTTATTTCTTGAAAACATTATTAAACTTTAAAAGTACCATCAGTKATGTTATTGATGTATTTTATCTAAAGGATGACAAGTGAGTGTGGTCCTTCATTAAAAGTTCATGGTTCTAGATGACTCGAATATTTATATAATAACACTAAAGGAAACACTTTCACCCACAATCCCAGGCAAGAACTTTCTTCTGGCTGTTATTTTGGGAATGAACAGCATAAAGTTAAGCCTCAGGGCTCCCAAGGATGACATACTGCACAAATACAAAGTACAACTGTATAGCAACCTAAGCATGGACCATCAGTGAACATCACTTTCAGATATATGGTAGTATTTCTTCCAAAATCCAGGAAGTTCTCATTCAATTGTTTTTATTTGTTTGTTTTTTCAATTCACATGTCGAAAATACTCATGGAAAATATTCCTTCAGTATAAGAACACTACAGAAACACTTCAGTAAAGACCAGCCTAAACTAAAGTTTACCAACATCCTTCAAAGCTCAAAATTAAATGTATGTTTCCCCCAGCAAAACTCTTGTTTACTGCTCACTTAAAGTCACATGGACGACTGAGTAAGAAATAAGGCTGAAATAAAATACATTTACATTTTAATTGGTAAAAAAACAAGAATCTTATATCTTTAAATCTTTTATCTATCTGTTTGTTGTGAGTACCCACTTTAAACTGTGCAGTTTGATGTGGAGAAAGAATATATTATATATATTAGCACTTGTGAAAATGTTTTTTTTTTTTCATATTAATATTTTAGGTTTTCAAACGGAGGAAGGCATCTCTTGAATGCATGTAAATTAAATGAGACTTGGACAGCAAGTTTCCCAATAATGATAAAAAAGATTAAGCTGATTTCAAAATAAACTCTTTTTCTTGGAAAATCATGGATGTTATCATAGTTGTTTCCCCTTAGTTAATTTCACTTTCTTTAGTTAATATTTCAAGACGTGTTGTTGGGGGATCAATATCTGCCTTTACAAAATTTAAACCCTTGTCACTGTCACTATAATTTTACATTTCCTGTTAGATATTAAACAGATGGACAGGTACAGGACATTCTTTATGAATTAATATCAAAATAAGATACATGGCAATTGCAGTAAACAGTTGTCTAGTAAAAATGATTTTTTTTTATTCTCAATTCTGGCAAAAAAATGTAGAAAATTGCAATTTAATACAAGAACCCACATAACAATTAAAATACACCAAACTAGTAAAATAATGGATGAAATAGTGTAAAGTCTTAAGAAATAACAACAAAAAAAGCAAAATCCATCAAGTATTAAATAATATTAAAATAGGTGAATAAATGCATGGGAATGTAAATGAATGCATGAAAATGTGTGCGCTATTTMTTCAAGATGGAACACAAAGCAAGAGAAGATTTAAAATAGAATTATCGATATATGGCTGTTCTTATGGATGTACAGAATTTCAAATTAGCCTACTAATGCAGTTCTCTTCAAATATTTTTTATCAAGAGACCTTACAACGCGCGATTCGATCGTTTGGTAAACAATCAATTAATATTATAAAATGCTAAAATTTAACACTACAAAGTCGAGAATAAAACGAGTACAATGATATTGGTCAAGTTAGCTCATTTTATTCATTTACATAGCAAAGCATTCATTACGTTCTTGTAAAAATCCCATTATTTTTCCTGACAAAATCTAGACGAGGGTCGAGCGTGAAAGCCTTTTTGTGTGGTTAAGTAATTTTTTCTTCTCATCGCAATTTATGTTTGGTAATTTGAGGTCTGTAAGGTGTTTCGACCAGCATTGCTAAACGACTAGGGCAGACAACAACAAGCGAATCCGAGACGTYGGTGGCTGATTACGAATTTGACACATCGATGAGGAGTGACGATAAAATRCATTGTTGATTTCACTTGGCGATCGCCTATCACGAAAAATCGAAAACTGCAACGATTATTCGACTCCAAATAGCGACGAGAAATAGAAAGAAGATCGCTATTCATTCTCAGAAATCATGCCGATTTTATAAAATTTTATAWGCCAAAAATGCCTCATCAAAAATTAAAAACAAGAAGAGAATAGAACGATGCCACAATTTACAATTGAGAAATTACACGAGCTAAAATAAAATTAGATGTATAACGATGCTAGACGGCTGGCTATTTGTTGAGTTCTTTCCGAGAAAAGGAAAGCGTGAAAACGAGTGCGAAAACACAAAATGGAATCGTGCGTAGCTCGTGTCTAAATGTCGCGCTTACAACATCCCTTGGGTGTATGTGTTGAGGTTGGCAGAAGTCAAAAGTGGTTGTAATATGTGAATGAGAATTTACCGCACGAGAAAAAGTCAATTTTCACACGGATAGTTTCTGATAGAAAAGAAAATTTTGCTTTATTTTCCTAAGCAATTATTTTGCATAGCTGCTTCTGCAGAACACAAACCTACCAGTATCGATTGAATCTTCTTTTGAAGAATTCCTTCAAGTTTTTCTTTCATATCTTTGACCATTTGGACGCCATCTCTTTCTTTGACTACGAAGGCATTTTTACCGTATTTCTGTGTGTATAGAAAACAAAATTGGAGCATTGAAACAACAATGTAGCGACAAATAAATCACTTCTTGAAGTGTAGCTTCCACAGCATGCAAACCTTGCCAGATACTACCATCTCGAGATTCGATCACATTGAGTATAAAAAACAACTTTTAAATTTTATAACGCACCTTTTGCATGTCATCGAACTTTGTGACCTTTTTCATCACTTTCTCCAATTCTTTTCCTATCTTTTCCGCCGATTCTTGCGTACTGTAAAACATCAGGAATTCCCCATTTCAAGGCTCTTTTTGTCATACAAATTCTCATTCGAATCATACTCACGTATCTTTGTCCACCGTCAATCCACTTGTAATCGTCAAAACAAGAAAAAATACGTTTAGCAGAGAAAAGGCACAAATAATGCGAAGCGCCATTTTTGTGCCCCGTTCTGGAGTCGTGTTTATGTTCGAAACGGACCACAAAAAAGAGCGGGTCGACTTCTTATGAAGTATATTATTATTCTGGTTTCGCGAGCCGTAATTGCCTCACAGTGACAAATAAGGGCATCAAGTCATCCATTTTTAACGGGTTCCTTGAAGATGACAGGTGTAAGCTAACATATGATTGGACGAGAGACTAGCATTTATTTACTAACACTGGACAATGCTCGAGTTGGATTTGCATTCTGCTGTTTCCTCACATTCTCCTATGAATGAAGAGTTACCCTAGATTCGAGCGGAATACTGAAGTTATAACATGAAATATACTCAACACTTGAAAGAGAACATAGCTAGCAATTCTAAAGTAAAGCATTCATCGCAAAGGAAAGACGTGCCAAGAAATACGCGCTCTACTGAATATGTCATGCCAGATGTCCCCTCGTAGTGTACACACTGCAAGGCTAGTGAAGACGACTTCGCAGTACTCATTACCGCAAACTTTGATTAATAACTTAAGTATTGCCTATAAAGCTATATATTCTTAAAAGGTTTAGCAATGTAAAAATCTTCTAAAAATGAACGCTTCGTGAATTTGAATGAGCAAAATATACTTAACTTAAGTAAGTACAAAAAACTTAAAATATTCATTTTCAGACCAGGGTTCATGAAAATATTCATCTCACCAGATGAAAGCTTTCATCCTGCATCATATGGTACAAAAGTAGAGATGACTTCAAATGCTGACGGCACCAAACCCACGCAAAGATGAAATAAACACAAGCTCGACAAACCCAAAGCAGCCGCCATTTTGAAATTAACCGTTTTGGCGATAGACTGGGGAGAGTAAGTTTAGTGGCGGGAAAATCTCATCAGAAACAGATTGCGATGTTGAAAAACTTGAAATCTATTAAAAATTCTGGAAAATTTTACAYCACAAGACTTTGATATATTAATATCTCGTTCTCTGAAAGAAACAAGGAAAATGGAGCATTTCTTGCCTAATACAACAGCGTGTCTGTGCACGGGTCTCATGAGAGGGGGAGGGGGGTTCCAAAAGTTGGACTGACGAAATGTGTTTCCCTATTGATTTAGTAGGTCTCCTATTTCAAAGACTTCGTCTACAGAGGAAACCCCTGAACACCTCCTGTGCATGCCCTACCATTTTTTTCTTCTTCTTCTTCTTTTTTTTTTTTTTTTTTTTTTTTTTTTTTTTTTTCGTGTGGAGTTTTTGACAGAAGTCTTG